ACAGAATTGTTGATATTACTTCACAATTCGAGTCATTAGATACCAAACAGGAAATGCCAATTGATACAATCTCAAAAATACAAACAGGTACACAGCCAGGAAGCAGCAGTGGACCCAGCAATATCAAAAGAGACATATCAAGTCCCCGGAAGGTGACTATAAAAAATAGTGATGAGCATACAAGAGTTATAAGAATCAAAACTGATGAAGATGATGATACCCCTTTGTCATCAAAAGAAGAAGAATATAGATCATTTGCCAAAATTGTTTATGAATTGGAAGAAAATGAATCTTATTTTATTTCATCAGGGGATCATGTTTATCCAAGATTAATAATTACCAAAGATGCAGACCCTTTCATGGTCAAAATGGCAGCAGATTATGGATTTCTGGATTTGATTTATCCAGGAAAAGATTTAAAAGAAATTGAAAAATTTGATGATATATTCAGGGCAGAAGTTTCAAAATTTGCCCAAGGAAGATCGATTTATATCAAATTTTATTCAATAAGTCCTGAAGTTGATGGAAGGATATATTATCCTGCTGAACATATCATTACAATTGGATATGTTGGCCGAGATTTCCAGATTGAAGTTGGCCGAAATAATAAACCATTGCCAAAAATCAATAGATCATGGATAAAATCCCGGAGAGTTTTGGGGATGAAAGTTCTTTACAACATTGCAAAGAACTTATATGATAAAAAATTCAGATGCTTGTGCCAATATGAAGGATGGACCCTCCTTACAAACAATGGAAAAGAAAAATCTACAATTTTGAAGGAATATATCTTAAAATTTGATACCCATCAAATTAGTGGAAGTCCAACAACAATCCAAGAATCATGCAGATTGAGGGAGTGCCCCACATGTAGACAAAATTGAAGGATTGATAAATGGAAAAGGACCTACCACTACCAAAGCATCTAGCCAGCTGCAAATAAAGCCAAAGATGAAGGAGCAATAATAGAAAAGCATCTAGCCAGCTGCATATGAAGTCAAAGATGATAAGGCAATTATAGAAGAAAGGAGGTCCCTTTGATGAAAATTCAAAGAATGCATGTGAAAATGTAGACCCCAGGAGGAAAAGAATAGAGAGGCATGTGAGCCTTTTTTCAAATTTCTGATGTATGCAATGATGTAATAGACCAATAATAGTAAGTTTGAGTCATGTATAAATAGAGGTCTTTCGGAAAGAATGGGGTATCTCGAGTTAGAAACCATTCTCTTTCCTTAAGCTTTTTCCAAAACCAGTTTTTCTGGAAACCCCTTGTATACAATATAAATCTTGTATAAATCATTATAGAAATAAAATCTCAATCTTTTGATATCAGAAAGATATGAGTTTCTAAACTTACTATCCCATAGATTCTTGATAGATTGAAGAAGATAATCTCTTTCTTACTTTAACAAAGAGAGAATTTTCTTTACTTAAGATCTTTATTCTTAATTCTAAGAAAAGATACAGTGAGGGCAAGAAGCTGAAATAGCAGAATTCCCATTGAGGCAAGAGGCCGTTTAAGGGAGCAGTTTGCAGATTCATAGCCTGAAGGTCACTCGGTTCTAAGAATACAGATTTAAGATCAAAAGTAAGGTAAAATTATTGTCTTTGTTAAATTTAGAAAGAATTCTTCTAATATCTTGAAAGAATTGTAGGGATTATTATTGTTCATGTTTGCAAAAAACTTATCTAAATATGTTATTATTCATAAAGTTTGCAAGGAATTATTTGAATAATGCCAGGTTATACAATTAAAGGATTAGATAATCTGTTAGATAGATTAATGGAAAAAATAGAAAATATTTATTCTCAATTAGAGATTATGGATATATTATCGAAGAAATTTGATAATTTTAGTAAATTACATGGCAATTATATTACAGATTATGCTAATTTATTAGATCAAAGAATGAAATTATATATTAAAACTCGAAATGAGAGAAATAGAGGAATTTAAAACTATCCCAATAAATTAAGGATATCTTGTGCAATATATGATAAATTATTTCATTAAGGGTATAATAGACATTTTATCAAAAATGAATAGTAGCAGGTCATTTGTAATAATACCCCTGCAAATTATAGGAAAGGTTTGAAATTTTAAGAGTTGTTGATTTTTGTTTACAGTTTTAAATCTATGTGTTTGTTATTATTTTTTGAGCTTTCTTCTTTCACAAACTTCAACATTTGAGATCTAGATGCAATACTTTGTTCTGAATTTTGGTTGAGGTGTGTAACATTCGGGTTTTCATTAAATTCATCTCATAAGTATTGTCAACTGCAGTTTAGTAAGTGCAATTTAAGTTCGTGGAATCGCGAATTTTCGTGTTCATTTGCTGTCAGGCCTTTTAATTATGCTCACAGAAGAGGATTTTTCTATTTAAGGTAAATTAATTCCACTTTATTCTTAATGGGCCTTCATTTTATCTTAAAAGGCTTGTGAATTTTGATTCTACATTTGTATAATTTTAAGTGCCTATGCTTCATGATCTGGTACACTCTTTACTCGTATTGATTTGAAGTTTATGCCCTAATTATAGCAATACAGACTAATTTGGATTTTATTTCGATTATAATCGATCATGATTTCTGCTCAAAACGAATTAACATGGTCATATTAAATGGTACACTTAATTGTTATGATAAATTATAGAGAAAGATGTTAAGATCTGCTTCATGATATCTGTTGTTGTCGAAGGCTGAGTTTTAAGAGTGGAATGTAGTTATGGTCCAGTATGAATTTGAGCTCTTGAAGTTCGGTTTTTCATATACTGGAATGAGTATTTTAGCCATGGCATTTGCTAACTTTTGTATATCAGCCAGAATGAGCAAGTACAAGGATTGTTTTTTATTCAGTTTCTGAGGGGTGAACGTGGTAAAATTATTTGTTTTTGTGGATAGATATGATGCTTGTTGGAACTTTCTGTAATGAGGTTAAACAGTGAGTTGATATGCTACCTTCCCATCAGTGTGATGTGTAAGACAATACGAGACATAAGTGCAGTTATGAAATCAATCGTGTTTTATTTAACTGCAATATGCCATGAATCCAATAGGAAGATTTGATAAACCACCCTTAATGCCAAGTCTTACAATGTATGATTATCCATTATACTTGTGATGGTGGTGATTATTGACAATCCTTACCTTTTGCTCACAGTAACATTCTAGATTTTTTTATTAGGCAGCACTAGCTTTCACACATGACTTGGTTTCTTGTCATTATGTAATTTATGTGAATTATTAAATTGAAGTGAGCTTACTTGGTTTTCTATTCCTGTCTGACGCAAGCTTGATCATGAATACCAATTTTCCCATCTTCAAATAAATTGGATCATAGTACTTGTAGACCAACATGTAGGAGGGAAAGTAGACAATATTTATCAGTGTTTCCAAAAGCATGTAAGGCTTACTTATTCAGCTCCACCTTATGCAAAGCTTCAACTAAAAGCCTCAAAGTTCGCTTATTGACAGCCATGTGTAAGGCCTATACCTTGGCTTACTGATGTGTATGAGCTTGTTAATATTACCCCTTTTCAGCCACTTTTACTGCTATCGATTTTTTGGGCGAGTTTTTTCATAGCTTAAAACTTTTAAGGATTTTTGGGGTTGTTTTAACTATAGTACAAATACTTTAGTAAAGAAGATCCTGTTTTAAAGAGTGTAATGTATAAAATATGTGTTATTTTATAAGCATTAATCCTCCAATGGAATGGTAGAAATGAAAGTAAATTTGCAACAGTTATAGAACCTTAAGTCTAGACGTAATGATTAAATATTATTCTATGTATACCATCTTAGTTCTGCTATCTATAAATGATTTACACCTAGAAGCTGGACATGTTTTACAAGTTCTAATAAAGCAAAAATATAGGAACTCATTAGGAAACTAATGATAGCAATCATATTATGCATGTTCCTCCTGGTTCAAGTTCTCTTTTTGATGTCTTATCGGGTTGTAAAGTACTTTTCCAGTTTGTATGCTTTTCATTGGAGTATGGTCCTATATTTTATCTTGAATGATTGCTTATTATGCATAATTCGGCATGTTCATTATAAGAATTGCATTCGATGCTTTTTGCAACGAGTATAAGTGGAGTGAACATTGATTGATGACCAAAGAGATGAATTTGAGGACGTGCTACATGTGTTGACTTTAGAAAGAACCCATATTAAAGAAACTATAAGTTTTTCCTTGGATAATACTGATACGGCTAGAGAGGTAATTGTTTAGCTGATTTTACTGTAATTTGTTTTTTGGCTCGTTGAATAAGATCTCGAGCCACGTAATGCCTTTTAAGCTATGAACTTAATCTAAATTTAAGATTGGCTCTGGAATAACATGGGCAATGAGGCTAAAATTGCTAATTATGTATTCAAGTTCTAGACTATCCATTTGATACATTATAATTTTTTGTACGTAGCGGATGGAGGTAGTGTTGCAGGCAAAAGATGCATTAGAATCGGCTTATGGAGGGAAAGGCCCTGTCAAGTCAATCTGGTTCTCGTTTATTCCGAAAAATCTCATGATTTTGTATGTTTTCTTTTCGTCTTTTTTATTCTTACCTTTTATTGAATCAGCTATTTTTGGCTTTCATTTTTCTTATATTGTGAATTTTAAGACCTCTCTCTTGATATAGTATATAAATATTATCTTTAACACGTTGATTTTATGAAAGAAACTCCCTTTTAATTATTTATTACTATGTCCGTGTAATTTGTTCCTACATATACCGCTAGGCATTAGTTGAGGCCAATTCTTTTATTCTTATTTGCTCATGGGTCATTTTTCTTCAGGGATGGAGAATGATGCATTTTGTTGTAGTTACATTGTTCTTTCATTGAGTAATCCTTTCAACTGTCCCATACAGCATCCCTTAGACCTGCCACTTTTATTTTATACAACCTTTTGCGTGTGCATGTAGTTATATTGTGTTTTTCAGTATCTTCGGAATTTATTGACTATCGTATGCATTCTTTGACAGTGCCATTAATTGATTTGCTGGAGTCTGATATGGCTGATCTTTTGTAGGTGGTCAACATCTCTGAGGAAATTCTGAAGGTTAAAAAAGGAGTTGAAACTGAGTTTTCTGGTGTTGATCCAAGTTGGGGTCATGGGGGAAAGCAAATAATGTGGTAGTTTTTTTATTCATTAATGTATCAAATAATCACCTGCCATGTGTATGCCACATAGGGCGACTGTCGCAATGAGCGACTGCAAATAGCATTATTCTAAACTGCACGTCTATTTTATGACTTTTGATGCTTAAGATTCCTCCCTCCTTTGGTCCCTATGAACAAATTTTATCCAATAGAGAACTTATTTATTTAATTCAACATTTTTGTTATGCTATTTTACTTCAATGGCAGGATCATCATTCACTTCCTTTCCCTTTTCTTACATGTAGAGGGAGAAAATTTTATCCAATAGAAAACATATTTATTTAATTCAACATTTTTGTTATGCTATTTTACTTCAATGGCAGGATCATCATTCACTTCCTTTCCCTTTTCTTACATGTAGAGGGAGAAAACAAAATAGAAGAGAAGAAAAGCATGTAGTTACTAATGTTTTGATCTTCACTACACATTGAAGTTGAGATCTAATTTGACTTTGTTATACCATTTCTGAGTTTATCAGTATCACACTTGTCAAAATATGATCTTCACTGCAATTCGGTTTCCTTTGTCATTTGGATTATAGGAAGTTTATCCTTCGCATGTTGCATCGACGTTTACACTTTCTGTGGCATTTATGGAAGCTCTGAGTATAGTGTTTGAACATCTCAGCCACAACTACAAGTAAGCTCTGTCTCCCTCCATTTTATTTTTCATGACGCATTTTTTTGCCGTGTTGTGTTCACTTCCTGTTTGAAAAGTGATTTTGATTGGAGCTATCAGCTTCACTGAATATTTGTTATCTTGTTTTATGCTTTTCCATTATGAGAATGTCTCACCACAGAAAATATATTAAAACACAACTAAATATAGTAAGTTTCATGTGGCCAAGCATTTTACAGTTGATCAATATTTGGTCCAGTATGTCGAAAACAATGCATCTTACCATTTGCTTCTGGTACATTTCTTAATACAATAGCAGCAGCTTTGATGATAATGTCATTCACTTGGACTTTTCCGTCAAACTTTGCTGAGAAAAAAATGAGATTGAACTTATATTAGTGCTTTGAGAAGAGAGAAGGAATAAAACAGAGATGAAAGGCACATATCTTTAAGCTCCTTCCTAAAGGAGAGGAGTACATTAATTTTAGGAAGTTTGAGACCTGTGGACAAATATAAATGAGATATAGATCCATTTCCTGTCAAATTCATTTCGAGAAATCCAAGTACAATTTCTCCGGCAAGAATAGCCTGTTCCGATCTCGTAAATCGACGTTGTTTTACCTTTGTCCCCTTCGTTTACTTTTTTCAAATTCTGAAGTTCCAATTTTTGTTTTTCAAGGTTTCTGACCAAAATGGATAAGGTGAAAATTGAGGAATTGAAAATTCAAATGCATAAACGGTTGAACGAATCCCAAGAATTTATTTAGCAAGTTCCACCAATTCAGCTTTATGCCGCAATTAGAGTTGTCTTGTTCACCACACTTCTCTTCATTATTGGTAATTTCTCACTTTGAGAGTGTTTGAATTTGCTAAAATTTTAATTTAGATGTATTCTTCTCCTCTATTGAATTACTGCATTTTTTTAACGGGATGTGTTGATGCATAGTTTATCGAAATTTCTTTGGTGTCAGAAGCAATAAATTGGTTGTTGTATTGAAGCTTGAAATTAGTCGTCATGAAGATTTTAGAAATTCAATTGTGTCATAGAAATTTCGCTGGTTTTTTGGATCTTGGATTCAAAAAATTCCAGAAAACCTTCATTCAAAAACGTAACCTTAATTTTGATCCTATTTTCTATTGTATAAAGTATTATAGTACCCATTTTAGTTAAAACTTGTAATTTTGTTAGATGGTGCTATTAATTTGATCCAATTTTCTGTCTTAAGTATTAAAGTGGACCTTTAAGTTGAAACTTACAATTTTGTTAACATGGTGCGATGGAGTAGGCAATGCTGCCTGAAGTAAGTAATTTTAGTTGAGACCTAACTATTTGGAGTGACAAAGGGCTTAGGCTCAGTGGATCGTGGAAGTAAGGCTACTCACTCCTTTACAATACTCCACCACATGTTTAGTCATTTGCATTATCTTCAAAGTTGCTAAAGCAGCACAACCACCAAGATGGCTTGGCCAATGACATGTTGTTCAATGTCAGGGATATAACGGGATATATGAACTTTTTAAAAAGATGAAGGTTAGTGATTTTGGTGGTGTTACTTCAAAAGGAGGGTTGTTGATGTTTGTCTTCTTTGCCGTTTTCAATCGGAGCTCATCGAAGTTGCGAACCATTGGTGATTATGTCTTCCGATTGACTGCTGAACTAATTGTACATAAATTTCCGTTTCTCGATTGAAGTTGGAATTTATGTTTTGTCTGTTGATAATGCAGTAGAAATGGGGAGATTTTCCTTCAAAACTGTAAAGTGCTAAATCTATTTGCGTTATTATATGCTTCGTGGGAATAAATATAGAAAGTTAAACAGATAATTTATTAGGACAAAAGTGTGATGGAAATTTCATTAATGAAAAAGGAATAAGAGCGGTCGAGTTTGGGTTCAGTAAAGTAGAATGCTAAGCCACAAAGGTATCACCAGTATGAGGAAAGGGCGAAGTTAGAATTAAAGACCGGTGAATCTGCTAGACTCAAACCAGTCGAAGCTACTCAAACTATAATCAAGGTAGCATAAAGAAAAATAATGTGATTTAAATAGTTATTTGTTACAGCAAAATGTTTTTTAGCAAATACTATTTGCAAAATCTACAATTTCTACACTAATAACAACAAAATAAATACAAAATTCATGCAATGCACGAGACGAAGACTAGTGTGTGTGTGTGTGTGTGTGTGACATTTGGTAATCGAGAATTGTTATAATATTGTTTTTGGTCTAAATCTTATTACTTATACTCTGAGTAATACTTTTTTTCTTTTTCTTTTTTTAATAAAAAGGGGAAAACATAAAGATTAGACTTAAAAAAAATATAGGTTAAAGAATTTAAATCAATTATCATTTATTTATAGCTAAAGAAAGTATAATTTGTCAGGCCAAAAATTAATGATTTCTCATCTATTGCAGTTTGATTAATTTTGTAGGTTCGTTGCCTCTTAAAAAAAATTAAGAGGACTTCAATTGAAAATATGAGATAAAGTTATAATTGTTGACCTCGTTTTTTATAATAGTAAGTGGTAACATAGACAACAGATGTCGGGTTCACTTGCATCCACGCAAACAAATTTCAACACATTTTGATTGGAGAGATTATTGTAATAGACGTGAGAGATGCTCTATAACACGAGATAATAATGTTCAGACACCGACAATATATTTAGGGGCGATTGCATAATAATAATCAATTACCAACAACTAGACTAAAGCAAGATAATATAAACTCCAACAAATGAGAGTAAATGAGAGAAGACACAATGTAGCTTTAAGTGTATTGAGTTGCATTAGCCTTCAAACGATACAAGGAATGGGTATTTATAGTGTTACATATGAAATAGTGTCCCATTGGATAAATATATGCTGGCTTCATCTCTTGAACCAAAGTATCCATTGTAGTCATTAATTTAAACTCACTAGCCTGTCGCGCATTTACTCTTCAGCAGGGCGCAGTATCCTACAACTTAAACTGACAAGACTTTGACATTATACTCATTACAAATGTCCCATCAATATTGGCATAAGAAAGTGTGGTACCACCGAAAGCAGCTGGAATATATGAACTAGACAGCACAACATCTGCTAATGCATAGATTGCTGCTTTAACAAAGCAGGTAGAGTTACTTCTAAAATTGCAAACACATGGAGCAAATGCAATGATGGTTAGTTCAACATGTAAGAATTGTAGGAGAAATCACGCTGTCGAAAATTGCTGGATGCTTACTTCTTTAGATGAACAAGTAAATTTTATTCAAAATGGTTCTCGTAATTTCAATACATATGGAAATAATTTTTAGCACGTAAAGAATTAGTTTTAGTTGTATTACGTATATACTTTTTGTAAAGTATCAAACGATTTCAATACTTAACGTGAGTTCAACAAAGTTATCTAATACATTTAGATTATTTATTTATTTATTATTATTATTATTATTTTTGTATCTTAGTAGATAGTCTTGCTCGGGACGAATAAGAGTTTAAGTTTGGAGATATCTAATAAGTGCATTTTATGTGTTTATTCGGGCTTCTATTCTTATTCAATGATATATAAATTGAGTGAGTATCTACTTATTTTATATAAATCATGTTAATTCCAACTTCATACAATACAATTTATATGAAAAGAGGCTATTTGGAGCTTAATTGAAGTCAATTTAAAGAAATTGAAGATTAATCGAATTACAAGAGATCAATTGGAAGTATTATTGAAGTATTCGATAAAAAAAAATTCATAAGTTTCGGGATTTAAATTCAACACTTGAAAAGTTTGAGGATTAAATTGTAAATTTTGAAACTTGTCTCGAATCAACTATTATGATTTTTGAATAAAGATGATTTAATTGCAAAATAAAAGAAGATGGATGAATAAAGTTACAAGAAAAAAGGAAGTTCAATTGAAAAATGAATTTATTTCCTTTTATTTTTTAAACTCTTTAGTAGAAACCAATTTAAACTCTTTGGTGGAATTCAAGTTGAACAAGGATTTAGCATAATTTGTTTCTATAAATACATACCAACAATTCAGGGGGGCTTGCGGAGTTTTATTACACACACACACATATATTCAAGGCAAGGCTTGGGGATCATTGTACATATATTATTCAAGCTAAAAGGAGAAAAAATGTCAAAAAATCAATCAAAGAACTAGGGTTTCAAGGATTTTACAAGAAGAAGCGTAATCTTGATGGAAGATCTTTATCTTTTTCTTGTTTTTCTTTAATACCCGGTGATGTACTTTAATTCATTCTTGTATTTTTATTCTCTTCCTTGATGTGTAATTAAGTATTTAGTTAGGATGAATACTTGCAACCTAGTTTTGAACTTTAATTTTAATTAAAAACTAAAAAAACTATGGTTTCAAGGATTTTACAAGAAGAGGCATAATCTTGGTGCAAGATCTTCATCTTTTTCTCGTTTTTCTTTAATAATGTACTTTAATTCATTCTTATATTTTTATTCTTATTACATGATGTGTAATTAAACCCTTGCTTGATACCCATTTTTTCCAAAATATATTTTTCAATTAAGCCCTTGTTTGATACTCATTTTTTCCAAAATATATTTCTCTCTCTCTTCTTTTCAACCACCAATTTTTCAATAAAATAATATTACACGTAAATAAAAAAATTTTCCTTAATTTTTAATCACACATCCTCCATCAACTATTATTCCAAAATGCATTCTTACTATAAAAATGAAAAACAAACAGGAACTAAGTATTTAGTTAGGATGAATGATTGTAATCTAGTTTTGAACTTTAATTTTAATTAAAAAGTTTTAAATCTTCAATTGATTTTGTGAATTGTTTTTTGCTTCTAATCTTAATACTTAGATTAATTAGTCACTAATTCATTGATTTCATGAACAATAATTACGTAGAGATGCGAATTGTTTGTTTAGACCACATAATAAAAGTCGGTAATTAGAATAAAACGTAGAGATACTTATGCTAGTTATTGCGATCATTACATGAATTTTTAGAACATAATTGTGTTTAACTAAGATTGATTCACATATGGATATGGAATTAAATTAGGTAAATAGACTCAAAGAGAACTCGAGAGGGGTAAATTGAATACATTAGAAGAATTCGATCAGGTAAACATAATCAATTATATAAAACTTGGTAATTGAGATTAAGGGGATAACCATGGTAAAATCATGAATCCTAATACTTAAACCATCATATTAAAAAAATCACTTTTATTTGTTTTAGTATATTTAAAATATAAAATTACAAAAAGAAAAATTACTATTTTACTTGTTTTCGATCAAATTCATGTTAGAAATAATTGAACCAATTGCTAAATAGTAATCCTTGTGAAAATGATATCTGGACTTATAAGTTCACATTATTACTTGTAATGATCCGCACACTTGTGGGATATAAAGATCGACTACAGGTTTTTGGTGCTTGTAGTTTTAGAACAAATTGTCTATTATGATGTTCCAAAATTGTACTGTTTTACGCATGCATTGACTTGTAAATCCTATTATTCTTTTTCTCAATGTTTTTCCGATAGAATGTGTATCTTTTACATTCAAACTTTAAAATCTCATCATTTTCTAAATACAGTATTAAATTCATTTTATATTAAAATCTTTTTCTTTACAAGGCATAGGACTACATGACGATATAGTTCACTTTACAAAGCAAGCCATTAAAGTTTGATATTCAAGTTTCTACTTTTATATGTGGTTGACGAAGATTTTTTAAGTAGGCAAGGCTGTGTCACACATACCCCAAAGTCTAGTAGTGACTATTGAATATACTTTACCATCTCCATGTGTATGCTTACCTACTCATTATATTATGTACAAATTTGCTTACTATCTCTATAGAAGAATACGCAAAAAAGGTGAAACTTTGTACATTAGTATTTATACCATGCTAAGTCCTGTTAAATTTCTATGCATGTTTGCATCAAAGCATGTTCATTTGATTGTCGACCGAGCTAAAGAATGCATAGGGTCGAGACATCCCTTGAGAAGAGGATCATCTCGAGGTAGAAGTCCTTGGATCTCTTCCAAACAAAAGATAAACATATTCTAACAAGTCTCTTGTAATAATAACTATCATATTGGACAACTTAATAGATACGATTTTAAGTCCTCTTTTGCTATTTAATCCTCCCTATGGAACATATAGTGATGTAATTTCAAGTGTTTGTTGATTCTTGATCATCTTTTATCAGCTTACCAAAGTGAGCACAATCAATAAGAGAACTGGTAAACAAGTTTGTCCTAGCGTCTAGGGTAGTTTAAACAAAAGATTCTAGATTGTGACTTGAACGAAAAAAATAACATCTTTGCATAGGACTTGGGAATGAATCTCTCGAGTATAGGAAAATGACGATATTCTTGTGGGATTTAGAAGGAGATTTCGCAGAGCGTCGCAATTTTCTTGCAACTAGTTTTAGACCTACATTCGCTAATTACTCCAACCATAGTAGTGACAACATATATAGTGCTTGTTTGACATGATTTTTGAAAAGTCAAAATAAATTTATAAGGTTCAAAAGTTGCTTTTAAATCGTTTGATTAATTTTATGAAAGTGTTTCTTCACGTTAAAAGAGCTTTTAGAGGAGGCTGATTCATTGTGACGTCCTCTAAAAGTACTTCCAGAATAGATAACTTTTTAAAAAATTAGTTTTCAAATAAAAATTAAAATAACTACCTCCAAAAACTCTTTTGTAGGAAGCAAAGCTAAAAGCAAAAGTCACGTCAAACGGGCTGATCTTGTCCCAGCCCACATAGTGATCGACTCTAT